CCAGGAAGGGGCCACGAGGCCGAGGGGCCTGGCAGTTGTGCAGCTGGGGCAGCAAGTGGCCCTTTTGGCCCCATGGGGAGGCCCGGCGCACGGAGCGAGTAGGGGGGCCTGGCATAACGGGCGCCGCGATGTAAACCCTGTGTGAGAGTAGCCGTAGTGTTTGTGGTGCCTTCTCCGAGTGGGGACAGTGCAGGCGTGTTCAGTATCAGATTAGATACTAGGAAAGATTCCTACACAGAAAGAGCGGTGAAGCACTGGAACAGGCTCCCCAGGGAGGTGGTGGTGTCGCTGTCCCTGGCAGTGTTCAAGAAACAGGTGGATGAGGCCCTTAGGGACATGGGTTAGCAGGCAGGGTGGGGATGGGTTTGTGATTGGGCTGAATGATCTTGAAGGTCTTCCCCAGCATAATGATTCCATGTAAGGCATCACCGCCCTATACTAGCCTTGTCTGCTGTTTAAAGCAACTTTTTAAACCCTGTTCTTCATGCTCATTTATTTATTTGTTTGTTTGTTTTGGGGTAAATCTTCTCTCTCCAGGGCCACACAAAGAAGATGAATTTCTTCAACGTGGGGAAGTATTTTACTCTGGTGGACATGCCCGGATACGGCTACCGTGCCCCGCAGGACTTCGTGGAGATGGTGGAGGTCTACCTGCAGGAACGGCCCAAGTAAGGGAGCGCCCGAGTGCGCCGCAACTTAACGTCACCTCCCCAGAGCAAGGAGACCTGGGCATTGTACACAGCATTTGTGTGCAGTGTAACTGGGTGAAGAGAGGCACTTCAAGCAGTGCTCCCGCCTAGTTCTGAGGCTGGGAAATTCCCAAGTTTCTGGGATCCTCCATAGTGATTGCCGTGGTTTGCGGCGCTCATGCAGGCTGAGGCAGACCAAAATATCAGAGATTAAGGTGCTGCTCTGCAGCAACCCTCTCAACAATTATGTATGGCTTATTTGGGCTCCTCCAAATCCCGTTACTCGTTCTTGCCTATGTACTTAGAAATACCACAATAACCATGAAATAACAGCTGTGGTCATGGTTAACCTGTATTTCTGGCAGCTTGAAGAGAACTTTCTTATTAGTGGACGGAGTAGTCGGACTCCAGAAAACAGATCATATCGGTATAGAGATGCTGGAAGAGTTTGGGATTCCTTACGTGGTAAGTAATGCTGTGCTCTTGAAATGGCAGAGGCAGCGTAACCTGTGTTGGTTGTAAGCCAGTGGTAATCTATAAATGCGTGTGCTCTCTTCATTAGCTTATTTATGCAAGTTATGTCCCATTCCAGTAGTAGTGTCATCCCTTGCCACCCCACATTTCTTTATTGTTAATAAAATAGACCTAAAATGTGTACGTTATTTTGGGCTTTTTGAGGGGGGGTTGGCTTGATTTATTAAAACAAAAACTTTTTTTCAGTGTTGAGCCTTAGGGTCTTCAAAGGGTCTGGTCCTTACGGAGGCTATAGCAGTGCTCAGATGAATTGGGCTGAAACATTTTTCCACTTAAATAAGTTCTAGAGCTTTCAGTCTGTCTTGTAAGGTGAACCACTCTTAGAAATGTTCTAGGCCAGTACCCAAATAGTCATTTTGTGTCAACCCTCCCTTCTTGAATCCATGCAGCTGGTGCTAACAAAAATCGACCGAGCTTCCAAGGGAGTGTTGTTAAAGAATGTACTGGAGATCCAGGAGTTCGTGAAGGAGAAAACTCAGGCATGCTTTCCTCAGCTGTTCCTGGTCAGGTAACCTGCCTTGCTGCCACTTCCCTGTAGCTAAACCGTGGTGCAAACTACCTGAAACGAGCGAGTGGTGAGCGATGAGTTTGGCAGCATCAGGCCCTCAATGTGCCCACCTTTGTCTCCACAGTTCGCTGAAGTATTCGGGGGTTCACTTGCTAAGGTGTTTCATAGCCCACGTTACTGGAAACCTGCCTGTTGTAGAGGGCAACTGAAAAGATCCTGATCTGCTTGGCACATCCGAAACAAGAGGTACCAAACTCAGAGCTTTGGCTTTTTTTTATTATTATTTTTTATTTTTTTGTAAAACCTGAAGTACTAGGGTCTTTTTTTTTTTTGAGTGGGGGGAAAGAGAGGTTGATTAAAAACAGAACTCTACAGAGGAGCTAAGTTTTAATACAGCATTTCCTCTCGCTCCACCAATGTCCAAAAAGCTGCTACTGCATGCCTAAACTCTGCTGTATTTAAGATGCTAGAGAGAGTCCAATAATCTGATTAATAAAAAGGCATTTAGTTTAGAAAAGACTGATAGCTCTAATATTAAAAAAGCCATGTTTGCCAAATTTAATTGAATGGTATTAAGAAATTCACCAGTCTCGGCTGGTTTAGCTGCCCACTGTCTAGAGCACAAATGGCCAACGCTTCGTTAAAGAAGATGTTTTTAGGAGAGACCTGTCTGGGAAGCTGCATCCTCTGCTGCATGCATGTAACAAGTGCAGTGTGGTGGCACACCTTGCTTGTACACACCAAGGTGGCCCCATTCCAAGCAGATGGAGGAACGGGAACATCTTTAACGGGATCTGCCTTTTGATTGCTGTTGGCTTGGGACTGAGTGAGATAAATGAATGACACCCAAGGGAGCTGTCTCTGCATTTTATCTTCAGTCAGTGCTGATTTAAAACCTTCTTTTAGATGCAACATGAAGCTCTGCAGCTGCACTTTGAACTGCCAGAGATGAGACACGTTTGTTACGTGCATCCTTCCACGCCACGAGCTGAAGCACAGTAGTGAGGCCCTGTATTTTTAGGGGTGCTGCGACAGACGGCAAAACTTTGTCCCACAGCAGTTGTACCTGGCTACAAGCAGATACAGGTCTCTGTCCTGGGGAGACCAAACCTGGGCAGTTACAGTGTCAGAAGGACTCTGAAAGGGGTAGCAGGAACCATACATCTTGAGGCTCCTTTTGCAGTTGTATAGGAGGTCGTACGATGAGGCAGTGTGGGATTTCTACTCAATCTCTTAAGAGCGCTGTTTCCTGTCACAAATGGCAGTAGTTAAATATCACCTTAAGCTTCTGTGAGGGAAGTTCATCCATCCTCCAGATTTATTTCAATAATTTCAGAGAAGTTCTACTCTACTATCTTTGTATTCATCTTCGAGAAATGGTATTTAATTAAAATTGGTTCAATAGTTTGTGTATGGTCCCTTTGCCTCTCCTTTTTCTGACATCTTTTGACCAAACAGCATAAGACATAAGACAGAGCTTACTTAAATAAACAAAAGTTTTTTGTTTTTGTTTTTGTTTTTTTTTTTAGATGTCTAAATAAAGAAGGCAGGGATTGCTGCAAAGCTGGTGTGAGAGGGTATGTGGTTGACAGTCTGCTTGTTCTCTGGCCTAGGGGGCATCATGCTGAGCTGTGCCTGGCACCAGCCCAAGGAGCGACAGCCGCCGCCGGGACGCGCGGGTGTCACTGCCGGGACGCGCGGGCGCCGACGCCGGTCCTTTGCCAAACGCCGGTTGACAGAAGCCCCAGAGCAGCGTCCACGGGAGCTACCAGAGCGCGCGTGGCCAACCGGGGCCGGTGCTGCTGGAAGGGCCATCTCCATCCTCTGGATTAAACTTCTGTCGAAGTTGTGGCTGCGGGAAGCTGCTGTGCCGACGGGAATGAGCCTCTGTCTTGGTGCTGTTGTATGATGCTCCAGCCATGAAGTCTTGAGAGTTGGGGGGAGCCGACACGGAGCAGACCGCACATCCAACTCCTTTGTTCCCCTTAATTCCAGGGCTCATTATGCGCGCGTTTCCCTTTGAGGTTTCTCACTATAAAGAACAGTGCTACTGCTTCTCCTGAAAGCTGTTGGGGTTTCATTCACCAGCTCACTGCTTTTAGCAGACTTAAGCTCCTTGTCATATAGCACTTTTGTGCCATTTCTCACTCCTTGGTGAGCCTCCTGATAGATTCCCAGAGTGTTTTTTTTTTTTTTTCTTGAGAATTATCTATGATTACACCTGTTCAGTGCTGGTTTTCCTCAGTGCGTTGCATTCAGGCACTTCCCTTCTTCAGGGCTTCGGCTCCCCGTCCTGCCTCGACAGCAGCAGGAAGCGGTGCAGACCTGACCTCCGGGGCGCACGCGCGCTGCGGGGTTTTCCCCCCTTTTCCCTTTTTCCCCTCTTTTCCTCCTCTCTGCCTCTCCCGAGCTCGCGGCGCCGCCCCTGCCGTACAACAACATGGCGGCCTCCTCCGCGCGCTGCATGGTAAGTCCCGCTTCGGTGTTATGATTTAAATAAATAAATAAATAAATAAAACCCTCTTATTAGCTCTTATTTTCGCAAGCGCAATCCTTGCACCCCAGTTGGGCAGAGGACAGGATAGGATGAACCTCGCTTAACACAGCTCAGTACGGCTTCGGGGACGACCAGAACCCCTACACCGAGTCCGTGGATATCCTCGAGGATCTCGTGATCGAGTTCATCACGGAGATGGTAAGTCCCGCTTCGGTGTTATGATTTAAATAAATAAATAAATAAATAAAACCCTCTTATTAGCTCTTATTTTCGCAAGCGCAATCCTTGCACCCCAGTTGGGCAGAGGACAGGATAGGATGAACCTCGCTTAACACAGCTCAGCAAAAAGGGATGAAATCATTTTTTTAAGATGCTAAAAGCAGGTTCAGAGATGTTAATTAAGATGTTAGTTTTCTGTAGGCTAAAACCTCTAACTCAGTACATGCCAGGTGCAGGTGTGTGAGCTGGCAATAGCTGACTGGCAAAAAGAGGTGCTTCTGTGACAAGGTGCCCAGATCCCAAGATTGCTTGCCTTTTGCTTATAAAGTGACAAGAAATACAATGGAATTGAAAGCTTGGAAAAAAATCCCTAGGCGTCAAAGGCGCAGCTCGACCTCAGCTAACTCTCTGCTCTTCCTCTATCAGACGCACAAGGCCATGTCCATCGGGCGGCAGGGCCGTGTGCAGGTCGAGGACATCGTCTTCCTCATCCGCAAGGATCCCCGCAAGTTTGCCAGAGTTAAGGACCTGCTGACTATGAACGAAGAACTGAAACGAGCCAGGAAGGCCTTTGATGAAGCAAACTACGGGTCTTGATTCCCTGTGCGTGCTGGGCACCTCCTGCCCCAAAGCAAGGAATTTATGTGCGTTGTTGGAAGGATTTTTTCAGGATGGAGATCAGTGCCGGGATGTCTGCCTTGGCCCTCAGCCTGTACTCAGAAGTATTCAAGCCTATGAGGGGCCCTGATTGTATGTGGTATGTTATTTTTTGAAATTCAAGAAATGTGAAAATGAGCTGTAAAGGTTCTTGTAATGGGAAGTCTGTCTGAGGTAGGACTATATTGTTAGGTATCCAGAGAGCTAATGAGAGCTGATTTTTCACAACTACTTAAGTCACTATTAGATATTCCCGTGACCAGAGACCTAGAAAAGGATAACTGGACAACCTGTGCCTTCAAGCACAAGCTGTGCTTCCTGGCCCTGAATCCTGTGTACTCTGCAAATAAAACATCTTGTTCTCATGCCCCCTCCTCGTAACTAAAATAATTACACCAATGAATTCTCTCACAAGTTGCATAAAATGGATTTCTTAGTGCTAATGATCACGTATCCTTACTCGGGTAGGAAGGTTGTTTTTTTCATCTTGGCTGTCTTGTTCTCCTGTCTCCCTAGGAACGACAAGTTCTCCTGTGCCGGGTTTTCCTGCCCTTCGAGGCTTCCTGCCTTGGGCCCTGCTCAGGCAGGTGCTCCACACTAACACTGGGGAAAGGGGGAAGGGATGGTTGTTGTTGGAGGTAACTCAAAGCCCTTGTTCCTGGATAAGGCTAGTCCAAAAGATGCTGGTTAGGCTGCTGTTTGGGACGTTCCTCCATAACAAAGGACAGACAAAGGCTTAAACTAAGATTTTTGTTAACATAATTATTGCTTTCTTAGCAGTACAGCCCTACTGGAGTAGAATTCAGGTGCGAGTAACCAAGCTGCTATAAGGGGTTCTGAGGATTTTTATTAGAAAAAAAGCAAACAAGCTCAGAATGACTTAAGTCCTTTCCTGGTCCCAGCCCAGATCAGACACCCATTGCTGCAAAAATGGAATCGATATCCATGTTCTCCGCAGCTTCTTTCAGCATGGAGCCGGGCTTTGCTCCCAGCAGCAGCTGCGCAGGGGGCCCCGCTTTGCTGCGCTCTCCAGTGGCTCTGTCGGCATCAGCACGTCCCTCGTGACCCACGGATCCAGCATGGAAAGCCACAAGGAAGGAAGAACTGCCCTCACCAGCTCCAGGAAGCACAGGAAGTTCCTAAAAAAAACTTTGGAGTCTTTTGGGACCGCTTGGACCACTTGATCTTTCCTTGGCAGAGCCTTGCCCCACGGTATGGCTTTCGGCAGCGCACATTTTGAGAGCCACAGAGGAAGTATTTGCAGACAGATGTTTTGACACAGCACAGCTTTTTCTGCAAGCTTAGGGAGAGGAAGGTGCACAAAACATGACTTCAGCAGCTGTTCAGAATAGGTTTGTTCACCTTTTAAATCCTGTCCCCAATGACTGATGCTAACCCTCATATTCATGTTGGAAGGCCTCGGGGCCCTAACTATTGATCCCGTTCAAAATTAAGAAAATGGGCTGCACTTCCTTACAAAAGACACATTATTAAAATACAAAGCATCAGATCAAGAAACCCCACGCTCACATAAAGTTACCTGCATCCTTGAGCCTCCACATGGTGCAGCCGGTTGCTTTTTAGTAACTTGTTACGCAGAAAATAAGCCACTGATTTGAGTTTGTTGCCTTTGCACCACAGAATAGCTTTTCTGAGTGCCTCCGACAGCTCCCCGAAAGAGGTGGCTTTCTGAAACATCTGCACAAGAGATCTGATATGCGGTGACTTTGCCGTGCGAGAGCAAAGTGACACTGACTTGGCTTTGGAAGGTGTTGATGTGATGCTTATAGCCTGAAACAAAGCAAATTGGAAGAAGGTAGCTCTTTAAAAACACAACACACCTGATATCCCCTGTTGGAGAGAGGTACAGCATGAGAAAGTAGAAGAGCAGTCTCATTTACTGGAATACAAAAAGAGGCTGAAAATTAAAACTTGTATTCCTGTCTAGTATTTACTTGCTCTTGTGAAATAAAGAACAACTCTCCAGGGCTGTATTTCATTTGAGCCACAAGTACCTGCTCAAACTCATACAAAAGATTATTCAGTGTAAAGCCTCCGTGCTCACCTAGCTGGTCAGAAAAGCCAACCTAAGGAAAAGACAGCTAGTGTTCTACCGTAGGTATTCTGAAAGGCAGGGCTGGGGGCAGAATGGGACATTCTCAACCACAGATACTATGTTTTGAGTCTAAGGGTATTTTAAAGTTATAAGAACTGGTGTAAAATGGTTCTGCACAAACAAACCTCTTGGGCTGGGCGCCGGGATGGTCTAAGCAAGCTCTTCACATCAAGCCCAGGGCGCTTCCCTACAGACACAGGGGGAGAATGGCTCTTATTAAATGCAGGCAGTCTCACGACTTCCCGCAGAGACAGCCACGTGTCTTCCTGTTGTCAGCAGCCTCCAATGCTCAACACTCCTCCAGGCAGCAAGAAGAGGACAGCGACTACGCTCATCCCCCATGGCCACTGGCCGCAGATAAGGATGGATTCAGTGAGTTACAAATAGCTGTGAAGGAGCCTCCCGTGCCCGTCGCTGCCTGGGAGAGCCCAGCAGCAGGGCCAGGACACAAGCAGACAAGAGAAGGTCAGTTTCTGAGATGCCAGAAGGCAGCAGTGCTGCAGCAGAATGCTCTACCTCTGCTGGCCCTGGCGGCCACAACCGGCTTCCCAATGTCTGTGGAGCCCAGGAGGCCCTTGTTTTCCACAACGCTTTGGGTCACCAAATCTCTCTGGGCCTCTGGTGCTGCCTCTGGTGCTGCTGGGAAGAGCTTCTTCAGCCAGCTGGCAGCTTTTGTGGCTTTAGGAGTTTTAGCCATCTTCTTCACCTCAGCACAGACAGAAACTCCAAGGAAGTCGCTGATGTCGGAAGGGAAGGTAAATCCCTTGATATAAGGCGTCTGCTGGGTCTTTGACACGAGGTCCAGCGATGTCCACAGCACCTCGTACAAGGAAATGAGGCTCTGCAGCACCCACCTGTACTGAATCCTGCGGGGGAAAGGCACACAGTGCGGAGCATCTCTAGCAAAGCCACCCTGAGCAGCCACCTTCAGCATGACAGAAGGAGCCCATGGAAGTGATTCCAAGTAGCTCTTCCCTCATCCCCCCTTGGTATGAGCTTTTCCTTTTACACCCCATCAGCAGTTTTCTCCAATTGAGCTCCTTGTGTCAGCGTGCCTTCCATCTTTGAGGCAACGTTCATAAGACTCGTTTAACTAATGAGCCCTGTTTGGGAGCCCCTCCATTCCCCTAGGGCCTTGTGGCTCAGCAGGTTCCCGGGTCAAACCCAAATCATCCAACAGCAGATGCTCCCCAAAAAGCGGCAGGTACCAGCTCAGGGCGGCTGCACTAGCGCTGATGCCCACGTGGTCTCCTTCTCCGCGTCCCCTGGAGAAGGACCCACTTGTGCCAAGCACAGTTTCAATGAGCTCTTGTGCGCATTGCTGTTATTTCCTCAGCTACAGCCAGCGGTTACTTTCCCACTGCTGCTCCATGGGACTGGCAGAGACCGGAACGATGACTTCCCTGGAAGTCTGCGCAGTGTTACGGAACGGCGTTACCTCCGCCTTCCCGCTGCACCGCGAGGCAGGACTCGCTGCGCGGAGGCCCGGCAGGAGCGTTGGCAGCCGGCTCGCATCACTGCTCGCTTCAGTACAAACTTCTCTATGTGAGGTTTGTAACGAACCAAGGACAGAGCCTTCCAAAACAGCACGCAGGAAGCCTCCAGTTACTCCACTCTTCCTGTGCTGGAATCGAGTCCAAAGGGATGGAAGCACCTCTCATTTCCCAGATCCTTCCCCTGTCTCCCAACTGAAAAAAAGCTCACTCAGCAGTGAAGTGTAATTAGAAGCTCTCCTACCTGACAGGCATGTCAGAAAGACAGACAACAAACAAGACAGACTTCTGAAGGCACCAACCGTAGCCGGCTCAGCAGCCCTGAAGCCACGGTGTTCAGAAGTATGAATTCCTCCGAGCAGAGGTGTTGAACCGACAAGCTGAAGATTACACCAGTTAAGCTTAAAAAACAAACAGCACATAATGAGCCTTGCAGAGCGCCCCAACCAGAGGCAATTCACAATTGACAAGCTAATAGCCTGGATAACGTGGGAGAGGAGCAGCCAAACTCAGGGCTGCCCGAGGCCAAAACAGCAGCCAGCCAATGGCCCGAGGCGCCTCCGTAATAACTTGAAAAGATGTCTGGCTATCAAAGGAACTCGGGCTGCTCCAGGGAATTGTGTGCTTGGGTCCATCAGCAACATGGGGCCTAGAGCAGACCTGGCTTCGGTCTCGCGAGGCGCGCGGGGGAGAAGAGGATACAGGAAGGCTTTGGAGCAGCACTCCAGGAGCCGCACGATGAGCTTGCAGCCTCCCAGGACCTTCACGGCGACCGTCTCCAGCACGGGCTGGCTGGGCACCCAGCACTCGCCCTGCCCGCGGCAGTTGCTCCTGTTGGGTCCGTGGGAGGAGGAGGTGACACTCAGGGGCGGCCGGACTGCCTCGGGGCAGGCGCCGCGGGCCGCGGCACTCACCCG